TGAAAAAAAGGCACACAAACAGTGTACATGATTCCAACAGATCAAAATAAAAAATGCATGCTAATCTGTAGGATTATTGCCGAAAGTAGGATATTTTACATGCATTGAAATTTAAATTTTTTGAATGCGTTTAAACATTAAAACACAAAATTTAATGATTTTTCTCAACTACTTTTTTATGAAAAAAAAATGGTTCAATATTTTTCAAAAATTTTGGTTCAGGCGATAGAAACATGTGTAATGAATATATCATATAACTTAAAACTTTAAAGCATTCGATGGAATCGTTTTTGAGAAATCGGAAAGCCAATTTGAAAAATTTTGTTTCGAGAAAAATAGGTTTGAAAATTCAGGTCTGCTCTTGATGGGATTAATGCAAAAGCAAAAAAACTTTTGAAACCCAAGGGATGACTCCCTTAATGTTTACTTATTTATTTAATTATATACATACTTATGTATGTATCAAAGGCGCAAATAGTAATAACATGAATATAGATAAGAAATCAATTGCATAAAACCCAAACCAAAGCAACTTTCCAAAATGCTTAGTTAAGTAAAATATCGTACACATATGTATATTTCACGCCATATATACATATGTATACATATGCATGTGTTCTCATCTTATGAATTTCTAATTACTAAAGAATGTTTAAATAAAAAATAGATAACAGGTTTCTGAATATCGTTCGTATGCAAAAAAAAACCAAATGTAAACATTCAAAGAAAAAAATATTAAATACACGGGAAAATTGCCAATGCCTCAATTGGTAAGTACAAAACGTAAATTAAAAATTAAGCTGGAAAACGGAAATGTGAAAAGCTAAATTATAAAGCAAAAAAACCACAAATGTGTGCCTTTTTATACCCTGAACAGGGTATATTAATTTTGTCACGAAGTTTGTAACACCCAGAAGAAAGCGTCGGAGACCCTATAAAGTATATATATAAATGATCAGTATGTTGAGCTGATTCGATTTAGCCATGTCTGTCTGTCTGTCTGTCCGTCTGTCTGTATATATACGAACTAGTCCCTCAGTTTTTAAGAAATCGTTTTGAAATTTTGCAAACACCATTTTCTCTTCAAGAAGCTACTCATTTGTCGGAACTGCCGATATCGGACCACTATAGCATAGAGCTGCCATATAAACTGAACGATCGGAATCAAGTTCTTGTATGGAAAACTTTCACATTTGACAAGACATATTCACGAAATTTGGTATAGATAATTTTCTAAGGCAACTATGTAATCTCCGAAAAAATTGTTCAGATCGGCTC